GCGCCTCGCCGGGCCGCCCAACCCCCCGCCCCCACCCGAGCGCCTCGCCAGGCCACCCAAAGCCCCCGAGTGCCACGCCAGGCCACCCAAAGCCCCACCCCCCTGGAGCGCCACGCCACCAAAGCCCCCACCCTCCCAGCGCCACGCCATGCCACGCCAACCAAAAAAAAAAAACCTTTGAGCGCCGCCCCATGAACAAAAACAAAAACACCACGAGCATCCCCCGCCACCCCAACATTGGCCGCCCCTTATAAGGTGCCACCCCAGCATGTGCTTGGTCGGTTGGTGCCTGGAGCCGGCCCTGCCTACAGCAGCTTGTTACCCCTTGCTGGCTCAGTTTGGGGTTGGTATACCCCATCACATGCTCCCTGGTTTTTAAAGGACATGGCTGGTTTTTGTAATCTCACCGAAGTCTGTTCCTATGTAAAAACTTAAATGTTGGCCCTGATACACTGCTATAGTTGGAGCCTTCCTTGCATAAGTGAAGTCAAAAGAACAGAAGATAAAGGTAGAAAGCAAGATCCCATACTGAGCTACATCATTTCATATTACAGGTCCTGTTGGGTTCCAGGGAGGTTGGCGGGCGCAAGCTAAAGGACCCTCCCCCAGGCTATGGGGAGGATCCACAGAGCCTGGAAATTCAAGTAATTACAGGGAACAACAGGGAAAAAAAACAACAACAAAACAAGGACAGGTGTTAAGGGCAAAGCGTCAAAAATAGGGAACCTGAAGGGGACACCGAGCAGAGAACCCCGGACAGCGCCCACTGCTCCTCAAAAGTGTCAAGGGAGCCAGCGGACGCCACCCAGAGGAACTCTGCCCAGAGGGAGGATTGGAAATAGGCCCCACAGTTGCAGAGAACCCCCTCAGCCAACCTTCTCTCCTTGGTGTTGTAAACAGCCACCTGGGCCATCGCTAGGAGAAAGTTGATGAGGAAGTCCCGCAACTTCGTGGGGCCACAGATAGAGTGTGCGTATATAAGGAGGTGGGGGGAGAAGTGCAGCCAAAAACGTAAAAGGAGGTTGAGGAGGAGCTGGAAAAGGGGCTGCAACCTGGCGCACTTAGGGTAAAGGTGCGCTAGGATCTCCCTCACGCTGCAGAAGGGGCAGGCTTCAGGGACAGGGGTGAACTGCACCAAATACATGCCCATGCTCACAGGTCCATGGAGGAGCCACCAGCTGATAGCCCTGGCGGACCGTGGGACTACGGTGGCCCACTAGGGTTCCTCACCCTCGACAGATGACATTAGTTCCCGCCATTTAGTATCGGTTCATATTACAGGTCTTAGGCAAGTATCTGAGCACTGGTATCTTGATGAGCAGGCTTGTTTGCCTACCATGTCCACTGTGACATTGCCCTGATGCTATGGCTTGTTCTAGAATCATGAGGTTCCTGGCCCTCAACGAGAGCTACATTGAGAGAGGATTCATATATATCAATGTGGTACAGAGGCGAACTAGACCAGTTTGGATTTCCATCTCTGCTGTGAGCAGGCTTACCTGCTTTTTGGTTAAGAGTTGACTATATTTTTCCATTTGGAATCTGAGTGGATAAAAGATGCAAAGGGCCAAAGTAAAATTTTAAAATGTCAGTCAAGAGTCTCTCTTCTTCCATGACCACATGCCTCTCCTCCCATTACTGTGCCCCTCCACCACCACCATTCATACTTTTCTGCTTCTCTGCTCTCATTACCTCCAATGAGAAAAAAATGTCTGTAGGACTAATACTAGCATCACAGGGCTATATGCACGCTACCCCCAATTTAGTAGTCCCTTGCTATCCAGCAACGCATTTAAGCACATACTTAAATTTAGGCATATGCTTAAGTCTGACTGGGTCTCAATCCTGTGCCTAAGTGCTTTGCTCAATAAAGATAGACTTAAGCACATGCTTGAGTGCTTTCCTGAATCAGGGCCACTGGGAGAACAAGTGTGAATGCAGCACATCAGTGTGTGGGGATTAAACACAGTGTCACATACATATATTCTATATATATGCATGTGTGTGTTATATATATATATATATAATCTTCTTGTATAACACACACATGCAT